CAAAGTTCCATTTTAAGAAACATTTATTTAACCCCCAAAGGTGAGTCTGTTAAAAAAAATATTATTAAATATACAACCGTGCAGGTGGCAGTCAGCTAAGGTTTGCAAACGGGTGTGCTAGGGACAAGGTCCTGCAGGATGAGGACCCACGTGGAGTTCCCCCCTCCTTCACCCGCTCGCCTTCCTGCCTGGCAGAGCCCTTTCCATGCCTCAGCTGGACACTCAAAGCCTCCAGAAAGTTCTCTCCCCTGCAGTGCTCCCTCCTCTGGGTGCTGAGAAAGGAGGCTGGGTTGGGAGGGCGTCAGGTAAGGACGGGCATTCTTGGTCCCGGCCAGGAGCGCAAACAGGGTGCGCTGGAGCTCAGGCACCAGGAAGGCACGTCCCTAGATCTAGAACTGGGCCTGGTACACAGAAGGTGCCCAATCAACACCTGCTGAATCGACCAGTGTGTGTGCAAGAGACACAGAGACAGAGAAAGAGAGAGAGAAAGCCTGTTCTCCTGGGCTGTCCATGAGCTCTCCAGGCCTCTGCGCCTGCACAGAGCTCACATGCTCAAGGTCATGTGCATCGTGGCTTCCTGGTGTGAACACGTGCCCCTCAGAGAGAGCCAGGCCCTTCCACAGGTCTCCTGAGCTGCACTGCTGGTGCCATGGATGGCCTACACAATTTTCTCAATGAGAATTTGAGCAAAAAGAAACCTAGTGGAAACGCCCACTCACATTCTCTGCTGGGTGGTCTGGAGCTTTCTGGGAGGGACCGGCACAGACCCATGCAGCAGGCACCCACCTTTGAAAACACCTCCCCAGCTCCAATGGTTCACGAGGGGGGAGGGGCCTGGGGGACACCCCAGAGACAGGTCCAGGCTCAGACAGACTTGGGCCTGGCTGAGAGCCCTGGTGTGGGTTTCAGCGTCTCCTAGAGACACACGAGTAACCATCCACGCGGGTGTCAGAGCTGAGTTGCGAAAAGCATTTTTAAAAGTTGAAGTGAAAGTTCTGGTTCTAGTTGAAAACGGTTTTGGGAAAAAATACATTAAGTAGCAACAAAAATAGGAGATAATCCTGGACTATTCTAATTTTCTTGGATTGTAACTGACTGGGAACAAAGAGAAAGAAGTCATCTGCTTCTGAAATCCATGGAAAAGAAAAATGCCCCCACCTCCAACCCATGCCGGAACCGGAGAAACTGATATCCCGCCTCAGGCTGACTCTGGAATCTGGTGATGCTTCCCCCCTACCCCTGCATCCTGAAGCCAGATGTGCTCCCAAGGCAGAAGCGGAGAAGGCGCGGCGGGTGGGGTGTGATGAGTTAACCAGCAGACGCTGGAGGGCTGGGAGCTCTCGTGCCCACTGCTGAGCTAACCCCTGCACTCCTCTGCCTTCCTGCTTCCTGGAGATGCTCAGCCCTGGGAGCTGCCAAATTCTGAGCGCCTGGAAGGCAAAGCCACTCCCCAGCCCCTTCCAGTCCCCTGTGAGCCAACAACTATGTTCCTTGAGTGGTCCCTTCCTTAGCTGGAGTGCATCTTTCCATCCTAGTCTTTTCTAAGTGCCATTCACTCATTCACTCACTCACCTGACAGACACTGAGGGCCTGCTCCTGGCCAGATGTGCTCCCAGACCTGGCGGGGCTGGCCGCCTGGCCATATGTAAGGAGAAGCCCCAGCCAGTTCTAGTGGGGGGTGCCTTGGGTCCCGCTAATGCAGTGGAGCTATCTGGTGGCTTGAGAGGCCTGGAGCTGGATTCTTGTGGGGTCTCAGGAGAAGGCCTAGGGCACTGTGCTTTGGAAACTGTGCAGGAATGAGCTCAGAGAAATATCTGGGGACCTGCAGGTGGGGCAGTGCATGGCAAGACTGCAGCGTGCAGGTGGCGAGAGGTGAGCTGGAGAGGAAGACCTCTGGATGGGGTGCTAAAGTCTGAATTTTATCCTGAGGGGGCTAGAGGCAGTACAGGCTGAGCACAGGATGGATAAAGAGGGGGACACTAGGTGAATAGAAGCCATGGAGCAATGCTACAAGGGTGACGTGTCACTGGCTGGCCTGGGAGGGGTGACACGCCATACCCGGAGGCCTGGAGGACAGGATGGGATGGATGGGAGACGGCAAGGAAAAGGTCTGGGAGGACCTGGGACCTGGGCCTAGACAGCAGGTGGACAGAGCTGCCTATGATGAAGACACAGACTCCTGCAAGAGGGAGTGGACAGATACACTGGTGCGAAGAGGCCTGCGCCAGCGTTACTCCACACCTGCTATATGCTAGGCACTGGGCCAGGCTCACACGTGCCATCTCAGTCAATCTGTTTAATCCACGCAGCTCGCAGGGCTTGGGATCGCCACCCCACACCGCTTCGGTCCTGTCACCAGCTCTGGTCCAGCTACCACAGCGAGGACACCGTGCAGCCAGGCCTGGCCTAGGCCTGCCCTAGAGCTCGCTGTACAACTTCTCCCCTCTGGCTCTGACCCAGCTGCTCTGAGCCCAAGTCCACCTGGCCTGGCTGGCCCTCCCTGGGGCCAGGGCTCATGAATGGTCAGGCGCATGTGCTGTTGGAAACTGTACCCCAGGGAAGGGGCAGATGGTGCTGGTAACAAACAGAGCAAGGCCTGGGGCAAGCTGCTAGATGCTGGGAGCCCATTTGCTCATCTTAAAGTAAGGAGCGTATCTCTAGCCTCAGAAAGTGCCTAAGGGAGTTATGGAAGAATGTGTACAAAAGCACAGAAGAGAGGCAGCTCTCATTCCAATTCACTGTCTCTCATGTGTGCGCGCATGTGCACACACACACACACACACAGCAAACACTCATGCTGCATATCACTGGATGACTCCTGGCCGCCTGGCTTAGCCTTTCCTGCTCTGTGGGGACATCTGCCTCATCTTACCCCACTCAGCCATGATTTCTCTGCCTCATCCACTTTCCTATTGGCCTTATTCCACCCTCAGGCCCTTGGAGGAAGGGTCCTGCTTGGAGGAAGCGGACATTTGGGTGTGGCTCTTTGCACACGATCCTTCCTGCACTGGGCTGCTGTTGTTTGGTTTCTAACATCGGCAAGGAGCATGCTTAGCACACGACTTTCTCTCAGCGCCTCTGACACCTCACTGTGGCTCGTGGGAGTATCATGTAGGGCTGCTGAGAGGAGAGCGGAACAGAGCACACGGATGTGTGTGTGCTCAGGGGGACATCAGTGTCCTGCAGAGATGACAGGTGTCGTTGAACACCTGCATGGTATGGTTAATCCTGGACTAAACACCATGGTGGGGAAGGCAAGAAGAACAGGACAGACACAGGGACCACATTCTGGTGGCATCCCTGAGGCATGCTATGGCCTGGCGAGGACCACACCCATGAGGGGTCAGCCTTGGAGGTCTGCCACCCTCTTCTTCCTGGGAAGCAGGAGATGCTCAAGATAGCTGAGGAGCCACGTGAGGCAGTTGCTGTAAGTATGAGGTAGGACAGGCAAAGAGTGAAGTAGGATCCCGAGGAGGGAGCTGTCCCAGTGACTGAGGGGACAGGGAAGGAGGAGGCTTCCAGAGAGACTTCCCGGAGGAGGAGAGATGTCAGCCAGGCCTTAGGGAAGTGAAGGGCTCCCCTGGAAGAAAGCCCTGGGCGAGGGTCAGGGTGAGCAAAGCGGGGGGGGCACCCTGAGTCTCATGGCCCCACCTGGCCCCACGTGACTTCCCGCCAGCCCACCCCCAACCTGTGCAGGCTCCATGGCCCTGTAGGCACCAGGGCTGCCCCTGCAGGACAGTCTCCCTGCAGGCTTCTGTCTCCTTGCCATGAGCTTTCAGGGAGTGAAAATGCCACCCCAGGGAAGGCTGGAGAAGGCTGGCTCTCCAGGAGGCACCTGCCTGTCCCCTGCTGTGGCTTCCAGCTCTGCTGGCTGCCCTGCCTTCCTGTGTGTCGCAGGCCAGGGCTCCAGGACCTGCAGGCGGAGTGGCACTGACTGGGGGATGGAGGGGCACTGAGCCTCCTACCCTCTCCACTCTTCCTTGAGAGGGACTCCATGCTGACCCCAGGGCTCATGGTCAGGGGGTCACAGGCGTCCCTTTGAAAGCAGCTGTGAGGATGGCATTTAGTAGGTGGGAAGGACTCGGTGTCTAGCAGGCACCAAAAGCTTCATCTACCCAGGATACCTGACTTCCCTCCTTCCCACCTACAGCTTCCCAGCTCAGTTACCAACTCCATCCTTCAAATGCTCAGGCCCGAGACTCCGCGGTCAAGTTCAACTCCCCTTTCTCTCAACTCCATATTCTAGCTGGGAGCACATCCTGTGGCTCTACCTTCACCATCTTCCTGAGACCTGGCCCCTTCTCCCCACCTCTACCAACTGGACCCCTGCCTCCATCTTGCCTCCAAATCAATTCTCACATCAGCACGGAGGGAGATTCTGTCTGTGAGTCAGTCAGATCTCTTTTCTCCTCTGCCCAGCCTCATCTCCAGTGAAAGCCAGCCTCTTCCAAGGTCTGCTGGCTGGCAAGACCCCGCCTGGACACTCTGGCCGCACCCCCATTCCCACCCCTCACCGCCCGCTCTGGCCTCCTGGCTGTTTCTTGAGCTCGGCAGGCCCACTGCTGCCTCAGGCCCTTTGCACCGCAGTTTCCTCTGCCTGGAGCACTCACCCCAAGATTTCAACTTTCCAGTGAGGCTTCCTCCGACTTCCCCATTCCAAACGGCACCCTGCTCACCTGGTGCCCACTTCCGGCCCCTGCTTTGTTTCCTGGTCCATTTGTAATTGGCTACTTTGACATGTAATTCCCAGAGCTGCCTAGCATCTGTAAGTTCCCGCTTCATTGGCTGTGGTGTCTGTGATGCTTACAAGGCTTCCTGGCCCGTGGTGACTCAGTAAGTGTTCAAAGACTCAGTGCCCGTGGACAGCAGCCCTGGAAGGCATCAGAGTACAACCCGACCTCTCCTTGAGGGCCATCATCCCCAAAAGAAACAGTAAGTGACCTCAGCCTCAAGGGAGGACCCACTGGCCCCATCCTCAGCCCCTCGGGGCTGGCACTCACCGTCCACTGGGTTGAGGTAGTCGTGGAGATGGGGTGCGCTGGCAGCACCCCCGCTCTGCATCAGCAGGTCCCCATAAGGTGCGGGGTGGCCCGCCACGAGGGTCATCTGGTGGTAATAGTCTGAGGGGGTGGTCCCTGGAGCAGGGAGGCCAAACAGACCCCTCTCCTTAAGGTGCTCCTGGGCCACTGTGGGCAGAGGGGAGAGAAAGAAGCCATCAGAACCTGGCACTGGCCACACCTTTTCCTGCCAAAAAAAGAGAAGAGAGAAACGCACACCTGGTGTGGGGGGTTCTTTCCTTGGCACTTCACCCCCACCACCCCACTGCCTGCACCGCGAAGGTCCCGGGCTTGGCTAGCATGAGCTGGGGTGTTGCTGCTGATGGAGACCAGATCCCGACCTCCACACTCCTCCACATCAGATTCATAGAACAGGAATCTGCCTCCATGCCTCCATGCCCCACAGAATCCCGGAGCCCCAGGCCAACAGGATCCATGGTCCAGCAGAGTCTTCAAAGTTAAAAGGAGGTGCAAACAGAGGCATCTCGGTGGCACGTGGCTGGGCCAAGTCAGTCTGTGCCTGAACATTCAGGGTGAGGTGGCTGCCGGGGCGCCAGGCCTAGCCAGATAAAGCTCCTGGCCTGCACATGTCCTTCTCCCTGCAGCACAGAGCCTCGGGGCTGCCTGCTTCAGCCTTGAGGTCGGCCCTGCCCAGGGCTTAGGCAAGACACAGAGCGGATGAAATTCAGAGCATCTGAGGGAGGCTGGCCCTCAGCAGGGTGGTGTCAGGAAACGAACGGGAGCTCGGAAGCCCAGCATCTGCATTGAGAGTCCACAAGTGTGCAAAGAGGGCAGTCTGAATCCAGGGAGCAAGCTCCTAACCACTGTGCGCCACAGCATCTGTTGCCAGCCTCGGCAAATTCCAAATGAGCTCTCATGCGCTTGGCAGAGGGAGGAGACCAAGCCATGGAAACTGCCATCCTCTGCCTCCTTCTCGCCAGCTCCTGCTGCATCTCCTGAGAGCCCAGGCCTCCAGCCAGGCTGATCGCCCACGGCCTCTGCCTCCCCTGTCCATACCTAAAGTGCCCTCCCCTACTCCTTCCTGCCTACCCACCTTCCCCCAAAGCCTTCCCAGGAGATCCCGTTTGTCCCAGTCACATATGGTCTGACAGACACTGCTTCGGATCGCTGATGAGCTTCCAAGACTCACACGGCAGGCTCTGGGGCTGGTACCAAGCAGGGCACACAGGACTTGAGTTCAGACCTCCTGCCAGCGGCTCTTGAACCTGATCTGCCATCCTTGGTCACTTAGCAGTTTGGCCCAGGGCTGGTGAGGCCTCAGGGTATCTGGTCTACTTCCTGCAGGAGTCAGGGCCATGCAAATTAGCCAGGTGTCTGCTGTGTCGTGGGGCTGTGGGTGGGTATGCTGGTGTTCCAGGAGCTACCTCAGTGTTTATCTGGAACTCATGCACAGCATGGTGCTCCATCAGTCGAAGGCCTCTCCTCCAGGGGCAGCTCCATCTCACCACCTCCAGCTCCTAATTTAAAAATTTTTTTTTTACAGACAGGATCTCACTCTGTTGCCCAGGCTGAAGCGCAGTGGTCACTGCAGGCTTGAACTCCTGGGCTCAAGCGATCCTCCCACCTGAACTCCCCAAATACGGGGATTACAGGCATGAGTCACTGTGCCCAGCCCACCTAGCTCTTCCTGGGCTACACTGCAGTGGGTGGAATTCAGCGTCCCTGGTTCCTGAGCATTTCTAGGAGGGTGCTCTGTTCCTTCCTTCCTCCCATGGACATCTCTCTGGGCCCTCTGGCCCCAGCCCTAGGAGAGCAGCCAGGTTCCTTCCGCCTCTTCCTTGGGAGCCCTGTCACTATGTGGATTAGTTTCCCGGGGATGCTGTAACAGATTAGCATAAACTTGGTGTTAACTGTTGTTAAAACAACAGAACTTTATTCTCTCATAGTTCTGGAGGCCAGAAATCTGAAATTAAGGTGCTGGCAGGGCTGCACTCCCTCCAGACGCTCGAGGGGAAGATGGCTCCTTGCCTCTTCCAGTTTCTGGTGGTTGCCAGCTTCCTGCTAATGGTCACAGCACTCCCATCTGTGCCTCTGCCTTCACATCGCCTTGTGCCTGTGACCCTGTATGTCCCTGGGTGGGCGTGAATGTGTCTGTCTTTTCTGTGTGTGCTTGTGGGGATACCTGTGATTGGATTTAGGGCCTATGCAGGTAATCTGGGATGATCTCTTCAGCTTAAGGGCACTAACTTAATGACATCTGCAAAGCTCGCTTTTCCAAATGAGGGAAAACCCAAAGGTCTGGGAGTTAGGAGGTGGACCTGTCTTTCGGGGGCCACCCCTCAACCTGTAGTTCAGGAGTAGCATGAAGGAACGCCAGCCTGGTCACTGTCCAAGGGGACGAAGGCTGGGGAGTTGACAGTGTTAGTTGAGCTGGGCAGAACCTGGAACCTGACCTGTGTCCTCTCTCTCTTGGCCAGCCTGTCATGGACTAGGCACGGTGCTCATGCCTGTAATCCCAGCACTAAGTCCTCAGGAGTGACGTGGATAGGGCTGGGCCCACTGTCCTCGAGACTTCAGCCGGGCAGCACAGGTCTCAGGGCACCTCAGCTTGCTTAAGGCCACTCAGGGGACACACGCAGAGTTCAGGGCTGAGTTCTGACCTTAAGAGGCCATTTTGGAATAGTGCCACATTCCGGCTAGCCATTTGACAGCACCCTGGCTACGGCCCTTTGCCTTGCTTGGTTTCTCTCTGGTGAGAATCAGGCAAAGTGCAAGCCTCCATGCCAGGAAGATGAGTCAATGCTTCAGGGAGACTTTCTGCACATTTGAAAAGCGGAAGCCTCTTTCATTGTGAAATTCCAGCTTGCACATTCTCAGAGCCAGGCTTCTGCTTCAACTCACGGTCACGCCCACCAGTTGGAAGAGGATACATTCCTCTGAGGGAGAATGACGGTAGTGGATAATGCTGGACCTCGTTTCCCAGAGCCTCTGCCCATGGGGCTCTCAAGTTCAAGTTGCAAATGTCCTCTAGCCTGAGGCGTCAAGTCTCAGCTTCGTGTATTCTGAGAAGATGAACTTGGTTACTTTCAAGGATGGGAACAACAAGTGGCTAGCAGAGTGCTGTCAGGGGCGGCACGGGGCCACGCCATGCTGAGAATGGAGATGCACTTCCCAGGGAGACGGCATGGGTGGGACTGGCCCCGAAATGTCCGGGTCACGAATATGTGTTTGCATGTGTCTGCCTGTCGGAGGGGCGGGTGAGGGTTAGAAGTCTAAAACTTTAGATCTGCTTTATGCATATAAAGACATATTTGTTCCATGTGACCCTGCCCTTTTCTGGCTGAAATTAGTCACACCAAGGGTGGCCATCTGATCTTTGAGTTGGGCCAATCAATTTCCTCTCTCGGACATCTGAACTGACAGACACAATGCCACAGCTTCATCCCTGGAGCCCAGGGCCTGGGCTGCCACTTGGTGGCCTCCTATGTTAACCTACAAGGGGCAGATCTAGCAGAGACGCAGAGAGCAGCCAGCCCACTCCTGCACGAGACACCCCAACACAATGTCCCCTTTCTTAACACCAGCTTCTGCAGATGTTGGTTAATTACAACCAGTGGTTCTAATCCAGGACCTATCTGGATAGACCCTTACTGTTATTATTATGGTAAATCATATATGGTTTGCATGCAAAAGGGTGCTTACCAAGGGCTCTTTAATGAGCATAAAACCCAAAACGCTGGTAGTGTGTGAAGGAATGCCAGCTCGGTCATTGTGGAAGGGGACCAAGGCTGGAGAGCTGACAGCATTAGTGGGAGAGAAGCTGCCTGCACCCTGCCCCAGTGCCCTAGCTGCCCTCCCCCATCCCCAGACCCTACTCACCGTCAGCGGGGCTGAGGCCCCTGGCTGCAGAGATCATGGAGAGCGTGGGGCTGCTGTGCACGGAACGGAGGTAGTGCTCCATGTGGGGGTTCACATATGGGTGGGGGGCGTTGAAGGGGGAGTCCCCAGGGCCAGCCGGGTGTGGGGAAAGCCGGATCAAGGAGATGTCAGAGATGACAGGGCTGCCGCTCAGGGTGGGGGGCCTGCAGAGATAATGGGCAGCCGTCTAAGAAGGAGGACACAGAGAGAACCCCACCAACACCCCAAAACTGACATGGATCAGTCCTTGTCTCTCCTGGAAAGAGTCTCCAGAACAACCTACACTTATTACTTGCTCCACCGACATCCCTTGGTCATCTGTGAATTAGAGTCTGAACTCTCAAGCATTAGCCAGTGAATGCAGACCGAAAGCTCCATGCTGGTACATGCGCACCCCCGCCAGTCCCACGCTGAGAATGGACCTTGCACCCGCAACTGGACTTGCTGGAGCACAGGCACAGCAGGCCACCAACACGTCCCAGCTGCACTGTGGCTTCCCCAGTGTCTATTCAGGGCTGGGCACAGGCCTGCATGCTAGAAACCTGTATGAAAAAGAATATAAAAATACTAATACTACAGGTAAAGCTCAAGGAGCTCATATTCCTAACAGGTATGTGAGAAAGAGAGGGAGCAAGAGATGTCATACAAGTGGAGAATTTCTGGCTTCAGAATTCCTGGATGGTTGGTTGCTGGTGTGACCAGCCTCAAGGTCAGGAGTCAATGTGAGTTTTGAAATCGGTGAGCCCTAACTAAAATCTTGGAATATCTCCTCACTCTCCTTCTGTAGAATTCCTCCTAAAGCTAACAGAGCAGCCCTTCTGAGATGCCCCAACAGCCAGGCATCCATTTGGTTTGGTGCCCCTGGCTTGGGCCGGGATGGCCAGGGCCCAACCCAATGTCCCCCAATCTGCCCACCGAGAGCCATGGAATCCACTCAGTGTGACCTCCGGCCCTTATGGCAGGCCTGCTGACCTGCAGCCTCTATGCAGCTGCAGGTGTATTTCGAGGTAGTCTACTCCAAAACTCACTTGTTAAAGATGAATCAGACTTTACAGTGAAGCAGCTGCAAAACCACAGCTAAGTCACCAGCAACCACATTTACCAAAATTTCATTTTTAATTCTTCAGCCCATAATTTGACATTGTGCAAAGTAAAGAGAGTGTCTTAGAATCAGACAGGCCAGGCGCGGTGGCTCACGCCTGTGATCCCAGCACTTTGGGAGGCTGAGGCAGGAGAATTGCTTGAACCCGGGATGAGGAGGTGGCAGTGAGCCATTGCACTCCAGTCTGGGCGACTGCGTGATAGAGCAAGAGTCTGTCTCAGAAAAAAAAAAAAAAAAAAAAAAAAAAAAAAAAGAATCAGACAAACCTGGGTTGGAATCCCAGCCGAATCATACTGTAACTTCTCCAAGCCTTAGTTTCCCCATTTGAGGAATGGGGATCATAATAGTGTCTGTTTCATAGTGTTGTGGTGAGGATTAAAGTCCCCAAAACTGTGCCAGAGACACAGCGGGCGGTCATGGGAGGAGAACTGCTATGAGAGGGTTAGAACCACACTTCGAGGGCTAACCCGGACGTGCCCGGGAGGCCCTCACAACCTTCACACTGGATTGATGCTGGACGTGAACGGCCACTGCTGGCATTGGTTATTTCAGACAGGAAATGATTTGTCTGCTGGCTGAGCAAACCAGAGATAATTACTGATCATACTCAATAGTGCATGAAAACTGGGCTTACGTTATAATACCAAAGAGGTAACATCCAGATGTCCTCACATCTGGGTTTCACAAACTTCTCCTGGGAGGCCGCCGCGCCGTGCCTGGAGAGAGTCTTCCGCTGCCTGGTTGCCTAGCTTCAGCAGACCTGACTGCCCTGGGCATGCAGATCCCACGAACCTGCTTCTGCCTTTTTGCCTATGCCAATCCTTGGCCTCAGATGCCTTCCTGCACCCTATACTGTGGTGGCCAACTCCTCATCCCTGTCAGCCAAGCAGGTGGCACCCTCCCTGAAGCCCCTTCTCCTGCCTCAAGATCCCTTCTCTCTGTTCCCCCAGGGTGCACTGTTCCGGGCTCAGGCTGACAGGTACATCTGCCGGGTTTCTGGGCTCTGCCTGGGAGCAGGGCATGTCCGAGGCACTTCTGCACGTGCAGCACCTGGCCTGGAACTGGCGCCATGCAAGTGCTCAGAGATACCTTCAGAATCAGTGACAGCCACAGTTCTGTGTGTCAGTCACTAAGCTCAAGGAATAAGCCAGAAGTCACAACCTCAAAACGTTCTCACTCAGAGGCTGCCTGTAGAGGTGGGTGCCTCTCTATGGGAACTGTACGAAGTGTGGGGGGCTTAACAGATAGCTTTTGCTACCTGTTAAGCAGGGGCTGCTATGCGTGCCCGGGAGAGGAGAAGCAGAACCAGACTGAATACACCCCTGGACAAGGGCAGGTCATGACTGCAGCCGGATGACACTCACATCCTGCCACAGGGTGGGCAGGTTGTGAAGAGAAGGCTCTGGGAGAATGTCACCTCTCTATGGCTCCTGGGGGCAGACCTAGGCTGAAGGATGCAAGTTCTGGAAGGCTGAGTGTGGCTCAGCAAAATGCAGGGTGTCTACAGGCTGGGGGAACAGCTGAGTGCCTCCTGTCCTGACTCCTCGGTCCTCCTGGACATTCCAGGCAGGGCAGGTTCCCAGAGCCTGCAGGATGCCATCCTGGTTTGAGGTCACAATAGCCTGTGATCAGATGCCGGTGGACTTAGGTGGCTTGCTCAGGTCCCAGGAATGCCAGCCTCCCTGGCACCAGGGTTGCCCGGTAGGGTGTGCCAACCACAGCTGGGCACCCCCTGCAACAGCCAGTGATCACGTGGGAATTTCAAGCTACATGGTAAGGCCACACGACAGGCCTGGTCTGTCCAAGGTGACCCAGATCCCACCGGCCAGGTGAGCCTCCCCTGAGAAGCCTGGAGTAAGGTGTTGTCATGGCCACATGCACACCCCTGTCTGGGGCTGCGATGGAGGCAGCTGGGCCTGGAGGCGGCAGGTGGGGCCTGTGTCACACATGGAGGAGCTGGGCTTTCGTCTCCACAGCGCAGTTGCCACCGTTTGGGGAAGGTAGACTCCACCTACCGCTTCCCACCGCAGGCATCACCAAGGGAATCAGGAGCCGAGGTGGAGCCCGGGGCAGCCTCTTCCTTTCTCAGGCCCTGGGCTCTGTAGGGACGTCCAGGGGTCTCTGCAGGGGTGGCTGGGCTATCTTCTCATGGCTGCCCCATGAAGTCAGCACTGGCTGTGTGCCCTGAAGGTGGGTACGGAAAAACTGCACCAACCACTGCACTTGACCACGAGCACACTGCGTCCAGACAGGAGAGTCATTCTCTATGCCATGTGGCCAGTGATAGGCAAGCAGGAGCCCCCTCCAGTGGGCCTCGCTCCTGGGCTGGGGCTCCCTCATCCAGGCGCCGTGTGCCCCATCACAGCACTTCTGTCCAGGACTCCCTGTTCCTATGGTGTGACCAGGCAGGAAGCTGGGAGAGGCCACTGTCCTATCCCAGAACAGATTCTATCAGGGACAGTGGAGAGATAGCCCAGCCCCCACAACAGGTCTCACTAAAGGGCACGGAGCAACCCTCGCTCTTCCCCTCTGCCAGGGAAGGCTGCGGTGCCGGGCCTAGAAGAGGGGGATCTGAGCCACAGAGCTGCCCCATGGGGACAGATGCAAATGCTCTAGGCATGCAGAGGGGTGGGGCAGGACACTGCGTTTGGCACTGCCTGCCCCTTTGAGGGGCACCAGCTCCCTAATCCTCCCTACGTAGCTGTGTGGCCTCAACCAGAATGCTGCTTCTCTCTGGTGCCTCACCAGGGTGGTATGAAAAGACCAGGGCTGGGCAGCTGGTAGGGGGTTTACATGAATTAACTCCCGTCCCTTCCCTCCTCAGCAACAAGCCAGCTTGGAATATAACAGGCCTGCTGACCTGGGAACCCAGGGCACACAATACCTGAGACAAAAGGCCCATTGGCCAAGGGAGCCATGAATGACTATCTAGACACTTCCTCCAGGAAGCCTCCCGAGATGTCTCTTTTGCACAGGACCAGTGAGATCACAGCATCTCCCCAGGGCAGGGCTGACTGTGTGCCAGCCATCTGCAGGGCACATGCATGTATTTCCCTTTTGAATTCAAATAAAACATCCACAACACAGGCACTTTATGCCGACCTTGCAGATGAGAACAACCCCAGATATACTAGGTCCCTCGGCCAAGGGTGCTAGGACAGCAGGTGGTAGAACCACAGCCAACTCAGGTGGGGCTGGCTGGAGCTCCTGCCTGCGCCCTGCACAGAGAAGTGGGTGTTCTTGATGACACTGGTTGGTGGTGAGCAGGGCTCAGGGTGTGGGTGGGATCAGGGAGGGGCAGCATCTGAGGCCAGGAAAGCTTTCTCCCCACCGTTTCAGCTCCTCTGTCTCCAGTCCGCACCTCACCCCTATCTGGTCATCACACACAATCCTGTCCCACTCTGTGGAGGGAACTGGAGCCCCCTGCCCCACTGGGTTGGATGACCGCTAAGGACCCAGGGGCACGTGTGTTCCTGGAGATGGTCATCTGACAGACCAAGCAAAACCAGAGGAACGGCCAGAACTGGCAGGACTGCCAGCATCGCACAGGCAGGCGGGGCCTGCGGGAGCTTCCCAGCAGCCTGAATCACAGCAGCATGCCGAACCACAAGCGGGTCTTTCAGGGCCCAGAGCCCCTCTTTCTTGCACACTTGTCCACATCCCAGGCCCCAGCCATGGGTCCCATCATGCTGGGTGATGCCAGCGCTGGTGAACAGATGACCGAGCCATGGAGACCTGACCAGGAAAGGCGATTTCTGGTGAAGTCTGAGCCACCACTTCAGGCCGACCCCAGCAGCAACCTCCACCTCCCTTTCTTCTTCCACTTCCACACTGCTGTACTGCACGGCCCCAGCCTTGGTGTGAGCCGTGGCCATTCCGGCTTTGAATTCTGACAGCTGGACAGAGACTCAGAGACGGCCTTCAGGATGGGAGGCGGAGCCGCTGCATGAGCTCAATGTAAAGACGGCCACAGTCTCCTACGTCACAGATACGCATGTGCACACCTCACACTCTCGTGGTCAAGCAACCAGCGACAGAGCCAGCCCTTCTGCAGGCCACCCA